GGATAAAAAATAAACGAATTAAGATGAAAGTTTCATTATCATTGTAAGGTCATTAAAGTAAAAAAAAAAAATAAAAAACGAACAATTGGCATTTGAATAATCCGTCTTAGAGTTACAGCCCGCCAAACTTAGCGCTGCAAAACAAGATCCAAAAAATGTTATACACCATAACTCAAAAAATACTTTTCTGATAAGCTTGAAATTATTACAGGTGGATTCAGAGCCCCTGATTACCCCTGAGACCAATTCTCGTCAAATCCGAGAGATGAGGGTGTCAAATTGGGAAAAAAAGTGGTACGATCTATCGTGGAATGCCCCACCTATCAAACACCAGCGATGCCATGCACCACACGGTATCTCGTAATATGACGTCTGCTTCAGATTGAAAAGAGGCCAGGGCCAAGACCATGAAAGCATTCCAATAAGACCAATGCAGAGCAATGCATTATGCATATGACATGATACCAACACGAAAGTAACACAGAATAAGGAACATTGACCTCACTACATAAAAAGTTTAAATGTCAGCCATAGCTACGAGTAACCGATTGACGGAGGTCATTATAAACACTCTAAAACACTGAAATGTAAGTAACTTTGATACAGGGAACATAAAAATGGCATCCGTGACCCCTTTTAAGGCCCTTAGGTCATTTCAGGTCACGAATGGTATCCGAGTTTTTCGCGAATAACTTTTGATAGATGCATTCTAAGGCGATGAAAACACCTTAGTTGTGATTGGCTCGACTGTACCGACCGACTGATGTGCAACTTAACCCTTACCGGTCAGGTCATGACCTTGACCTGGGGTCAAGTTTTCAAGTTGACCTTTCAGGGTCAAATGATTGTTTATTGGATGCCTCTTGACGAGAGGAACACGATGCCGGTAAAATAAAATTCGTGCAAGGTTTGAGTCAAAAGTTATTGCAGAAAATAAAATTCCGATTTTTTTTAATGTTTGCCGCCTGCAGGCAAAACCGCTAATGCTAGGTCAACTCTGAGAAAATTAGCAGAAAGAGCGTTAATAGAGCTATCAAATGCGCTTTTCTGCAGCGCTGTAGCTCTATTAGTTTCCGAGCTGTGCGTCGATTTGTTGAAAATTGGCGATATTTGACCTGGCAATCGGCGAATATGGGCCTTCAATGACCTCTGGTGACTTGACCTTTGACGTGACCAAAAAAGTGACTGAAATAGTTTCTTCCTTAATTTTGACGCTCCTTCGAACACCGCCTTCCCCGTATCGCTACGTGGTCCAGGAGCTGAGTTAGAAGGAGGTGTTCAACCCCCCCCCTCCCTCCAGCAGGGCGTGGAAATTCGGGATCACCAACGGGGCGCGGGTTAATTGAAGTGACATGATTGTAATGAGCCACTCCCTTTTTTCCATCGTTGGATGGACTGCAAAGAAACATTTTAGCGTGTAGTTTGAATTATGTGCGTGTAAACACAAAATTGTGCTTGCCGCGTTTTCCGCATCGGCCGATCCCATCTCAGCCGGCGACACCATGTTTTTTTTTTAACTTTTAGCAGGCTTCTAATGGCCATATATTCTGTTTGAGTAACTAGAAATTCACTATGCATACTCAGAAATGCCTGTTCTTTTGTATAGTGAAAGAAACATGCAAACCAGCTGGTTACTTTAGCTATTGGCGTGTAAACGCAAAATTGTTTCTCATATAGCAATGGTAACCAGTAACCACATCTGACCTCATTTGACCTTTAAGATATTGTCCTAGGGTCATGAAATTCACTCATAGCAGAGTTCCTTACGGCCTCCACCTACCCTCCGAATTTTGTCTTTCTAGCCTTAGTGGGAGCTGAAATATTTCGTCCCCTTCCACGGGGCTAGATGCAATCCACCTAGATGCATTCCACGATAGATCGACCAAAGCCGTACACCCTCATATTTCATTTTTTGCTTAAAATTGGTCTAATGGGTTGTGATGGGCGGGGAAGCCAGCTGTGCCAAGGATTTTTTTTCTTCGAACAACGGTTTCCGAGATATAGCCTCAGGCAATTCCTGGAGGTCACGCTGCAACCCTATGTTTGGCGGCTTATAACTCAGAAACTATTGGTTTTCTATAGTAAAAACTTTATATGGTTCAACTCGCAATCAACCAACAAACGTTTTGGCTATCTCGGATTTTCGATTTTTGAAAATTTTGATCACGTGACATCTTGACCTTTTTTTCGAAGAGTGACCTTGATATTTTCCCAACTGAAAGTCGCAATTATGTCTGATGACGATTAAAGCCTTATCAATTGTCATTCATATGCGCAAATAAAAAAAGTGGCTATCGCCCTGCGTTGACCTCAGGTCAGGTCATTTTTATGACCTGTCCATTATTACGAGCGGGAGCGACGCGAGATCTCGAGAATAAAGCAAGATAGCGACAAGCGGTAAACGGTACAGGATTCACACGGATAAGGTCTACAATTTTTACGGAGGTCATTTTCAGGTCAGGTCAAAGATGACGTCACAGGGGTAAAAAGGAAGTCAAAATAGTTTTGGCTGTACCTTTTGATCTAATAAAGAAAGAGACGTGGAACAGGCACCATTGTGTTTGCTTTCGCCTAGCGCCAGTTCGTTTTGAATTTCAATACCGATGACCTAAGATCAGGTCAATTTCTTGACCACCCCATTATAAGTCAATTGGGGAAAAATCAGTTCCCTTGTTTTTACACTAAAACGCGTCGGAATTGCCTAATATACCATGAGTGACTTCATATACGACTAACTTTGACTACCTTGAGACCTTTTTTGCTCTTGGTCAACTGTGACGTTGCTCTTGGGTCATGTGACGTCATTATAGGTCACCAAATGTTTTTTTGCTAATAACTCCTTACAGGTTTGAGATACAGCCGCGCGGATAGGCTCATTGTGTTCAGCTCGTCAAGGCCCATCGAATGATATATATGATGACCTTAAGGTCACGTGACCTAAGGTCAACTTTTGACCTTGACCTTTCGAGGTCACCATACACATGTTTCGATGCGGATCGACGAGAGGATCACGATGGTGCTATTAGTTTGTTCCTGGCTGGGATACTTTGAAAGTTATTCGAGAAAAACTTCATATATATGTAGTGCCGCCGACTTTCTTTTTACCCATGTGACGTCATCTTTGACCTGACCTGAAAATGACCTGAGTAAAAATTGTAGACCTTATCCATGTGTACTTTGTGCCGTTTACCCCTTGTCGCTATCTTGCTTTGTTCTCGAGATCTCGCTGTCGCTCCCGCTCGTAATAATGGGAAGGTCATAAAAATGACCTGACCTGAGGTCAACGCAGGCCGAAAGCCACTTTTTTATTATCGCATATGAATGACAATTGATAAGGCTTTAATCGTCATCAGACAAAATTGCGACTTTCAGTTGGGATAATATCAAGGTCACTCTTCCGGATGAAGCTCAACTCCAAGAAGACGCAGATGTTAGTGCTACTGCTAGGTACCCCCTCAATGCTGCGCAATGTACCACCTGTGACGTTGACCTTCAATGGAGATGTCATTCCAGACTCAGGAGTAGTTAAAAACCTCGGTGTTCAACTTGACAGGTATCTAAATTTTGAGGCTCAGATAGACAATATGTCCCATAAGTGCGCCGGTATTCTGATAGCCCTAAGTCACGCACGTCACGTCATACCTAGACCTGTGTTAAAGGGCATCACAGAAGCTCTAGTGTTATCCATTGTGCGCTACTGCATGTCGGTGTATGGGTCTTGTACTAGCACACAGCTGCACCGTGTACAGAAGACCATCAATTTCTGCGCACGTGTCGTGACCGGGAAAAGGCGATGTGATCACATCTCGGGTGCCATATCGAGCCTCGGCTGGCTCACGGCCGAACAGTTGGTGGCTTACCATACCTTGTGTGCAGTCGAGCGGACGATGAAGTCAGGTCATCCTGACTTTCTTCTTAAGACTTTCGGACAGCGAGCCCACCAGCGGCATGATCATAACACGAGGCGAGCGGACTCGTTTACCCTTCCGGCCATCCGTGTGGAGGCCGGCAGGCGGCGACTCTGTTACCGCGGTGTGTCGCTGCTGAACGACAGCGGCATTGAGCCTGGCACTTTGTCTTTCCGGGCAGATGCCAGGCTGTTCGCTGGATCTCTCTGATTCACGATATCGTTTCTGGTGCGAGTGTATGCATGGTATGCGAATGTTTGTAGTCATTTCCGTGTGTCTGTTCCAACTTCCCATTGTATTACCATTCAGACGCGAGTAAGTGAAAAGCCATGTAATCGTGGATCTTATTCAAATAAATCTGTTCTGTTCTGTTCTGTTCTTCGAAAAAAAGGTCAAGATGTCACGTGATCAAACTTTTCAAAAATCGAAAATCTGTGATAGCCAAAACGTTTGTTGGTTGATTGCGAGTTGAACCATATAAAGTTTTTACCATAGAAAACCAATAGTTTCTGAGTTATAAGCCGCCAAACATAGGGTTGCAGTGTGACCTCCAGGAACTGCCCGAGGCTATATCTCGGAAACCGTTGTTCGAAGAAAAAAATCCTTGCCACAGCTGGGTTCCCCGCCCATCACAACCCATTAGACCAATTTTAAGCAAAAAATAAAATATGAGGGTGTAAATTTTATTTATTTTTGGTCGATCTATCGTGGAATGCCCCACCAAGTTTAAAACCTTTCTGACAAACACTGCAGGCTGGACAAGATTGCAAACTTTTTTAGGCTCGGTCAGTTAACTTGACCTGGTGACCTGACCTGACATGACCTGGGGTCAAAAATTTCACACGTCCAAAATTGATGTACAGAAAGGTACTCAAAGCGGCTCGGCGCTATGCGCCGCGGTTTTTTATTCACACGCAAAAAAACGCGACAGGGTGGTAACATATGCCCCGCCTCCCCCCCTCCCCCCACTGGGGCGAAGGTTAATCCCGCCGAACGGAGGGCGGATCGAGTTCTTGCTATTTACCTTGCTTAGAGCTGTTGCACAACCGCATACAATGTGCATACAGTTGACTGTTTCTCTCTGTCCACCAGGTCGTGAGAGCAGAGACGCCTTCTGTCGCGGTGACGTCATGTATACATTACTATGGTTTGAAAGTATCAAATCATAACGTGTTCAGCAATGGCAATGCCACGCGTGAAGGCCGATCTCTCCGAAGGCACCACCAGTGGCTGGGAGAGGCTGTGCGAGACGGAGGCGCGCGCGGCGGCGCTGCGCTGTGCAGAGGCGTTCCGGCGCTCCGCCACGGACCCGGCCGCCAGTGGACCGCTCTCACACACCGACTTCTTGCACCGGTTCATCAACAGTTTTCAGCAGACGTTCGAGGATCAGATTCGCCAGTACAGCCACCTGAACGGGTACGCCACCAGCGTGGTGGCGACGGCGGCCGGCCTCGAGCCGCCGCGCCACGCTGGCCCGCCGGCCGGCCGCACTCTTCGGGAACGGTTGGGCTCTTTGAAGAGTACGCTGCGCCGGGGGCGCGCTGTGCTGCTAAGGCAGCGCTCTGACGAGTTGGATGTGTCGCCGAGCCGCCGGCGGCGCGGCCGGCTCGCCAAAATGGTGGTGGAGATCAAGCACGAGGGCACGGTGAACTACCTGACGGGCGACAACCTGGAGGCCTGGAGGCGCTGCCGTCTGGCTCTGGTGCGCACTGGCGCCGGACACCTGCTCGAGTTCTTCACGCCGCCAAAGGTGCGCCGAGCATGCTAGGCTTGCTCATCTCTTTGGCTAGCTATGGAGGTTACTAAACTAGGTGACTGTTACCGGCTGTTTGATGTCAAACAATAATGCAGGTTATGTTGCCATGATCTTTTCTGACAGGATCGGATTAGTGATCAGATCATGCTATCCCGATTTTTAGGACATTTCCATTAGGTACCAATTATGTCAAAAATGGATTAGACCAGGATTGACCGATCCGGATCGGCAGCTTTAATTTCAAATCAGTAGGTAGACATAAATTGCGTGGCTGTAGCGATTCACTTAAGGTCTATAGTCTGTTCCATTTAGAGGCGGATCCAGCCGATTCGTTTGGGGAGGGCAAAAGTTTCCGACCCATTTGGCGACCCCGACCCAGCGCCGCACCGGTGACCAAGCGACTTTATAGGGCCATACTACATCAGAGGCCTGTTTCACTAACGAATAAAACTTGTATTTACAAAGAAAAAGCTTGAGTTTACAAGAAATAATTACCAACATTTGAGATTTGGATTTCACGAAACCTTTGAACATGAATTTTGAGTTTAAAATTTGCAAACTTTTTTACAAGAAAAAGTTTGCTAGAAAACATGGGAATCGCAAACTTTCTGTTTCACGAAGACCAGAAACTTGAAAGAAAATATCGTAATTACAAACCTGAAATTCCAGTGGTCCTGACTAGAGGTGGAAATGACTAACGTTTTTCAAAATCTTGACTAATGACTGACTAATGACTAATGACAATTTTGGTTGACTGACTTTTGACTGACTATTCTTTCGTCTCAAAAAGCTTGACTGACTAATGAATGACTAACGCCATTTCTCTTGATTTTGACTAATAATTGACTAAATTTCAGAAATTGCTAGCACTGCTTAAGTAAAAATCTGCCGATACGCTAAGAAATATAAACGATAAGCAACACCATGTTTCGTTTTAATGTTTATTCCATTCAGCATTGCAGAACATACAAGTTACGCATCAAAGATAGCCGCGTTGCAGGCGATGATTACCAGCCCCTCGAACACCTTATCTGACATCCGCGCCCGTCTGTCCCGCATAATGTTGCCGGCGACTGAGAAGAGCCGTTCGCTGGCGGCGGACGTCGCGGTCAGGCCCAGAGCCTTCTGGCCACCTCTGCGAGCAGCTTGCTGTCATTTTCTTCCCCATTCCTGTGCACATCTTTCCAAAAGTCGAGAGGATTGGCGATGTTGATCCTTGGAGAGGAGAAATATTTGTCGACGCCGCTTCCCCCTGCTCCACCTCACTGTCGGCTGGACTGGCTAGTAGATGGGTACTCCACGTCCAGAAAGGCGAGGAGTCTGCTTCGCTTCGGAGCCGACGTTTCGCCCCTCGTTTCGTCACCGCTTGGAGTATCCAAGTCGTCATCAGAGCAAGTGTTGGCTTTCAAGACGTCGACGCGGCGCCGGATCTCCTGTCGTGCCTCTTCGTCAGCAGACGTGCCTGTTCCTGACGTCTTCAGTCTTGGGTCAAGGACTGCCGCAATGCTGTTGTCAAGAGTTTTGAACTGCTCCAGACGTGTCCTAACTGCCTCCGAGAGAGCAGCGACGATCCCAGAGGTGCAGCGAGTGGGGCGGTCAGCGATCAACTGGAGATGCTTCTCAATCCCAACAATGCTCGGAACAATGGCACTGACCGTCACCACTGCGTCACCTTCAGTCATGTCTGTAGCCTCCGCGAATGGCTGAAGAAGATCGATCAGTTCTTGAAGCGCAGCGACATCCGTGGGTTGAAGCGGACTGACCCTTCGTCGCTGCTCTGCTCCAAGGAGGGAGACAGCTCGGTTTGTTGCTCCAACATCTTTGATGGCGCTTTCAATCATCTTCAGCTCCGAGTTCCACCTCGTCTTTACCGCCACGTGCAAGCTGACGCCGGCTTCTCGTAGAGCAGGAGCGGCCACCGTCGAACGGCGAACAGACTTGACGATTTTGCCCACATTCTTCAAAGCTCTGCCCAATGGGCTGTCGCTGTCGATAGTCTTCAATCCATCTTGCACAGCGAGCTGGAGTGTGTGAGCAAAGCAAGGTACACGCTGGGGGCACATGGCTAGCACGTCGTCGAGATCTTCTTCCCGCTCAAGGACGTCATCGTCTCCCTTCTCTTCATCGTCGCCTTCCTCATCGTCGCTCCCCACGCTGGCATCTCGGAGAAGTGGTAGGGAAACGTCAAGCGCCTTCTTCATCGAGGATGCATTATCCGAAACCACCTTCTTCACATTTCCCTGGAAGTTGTACTCGGCGCAGATGTCAAACATCTGGGCGATATTCTCTGCCGTATGCCGCCCTACAAATTTTCGACATGCGAGGATTCGCTTTTTGAGAACGAATTCCGCGTCAATGTAATGCATGGTGAACTCGAAGAAAGAGTCATTATTTCTGTTTGTCCACGCATCGACTGTTGCGTACACTTGTGTGATTTCCGCCAGTTCTGCCTTCATTTTTGCCACCAGCTTGTCGACTTCGCCCGGGAGAAGCTGCTTTCGAATGGTCGGGCGGCTGGGCACAGCGAATTTTGGATCCGCTTCCTCCATGAGTCGACGAAAGAATGGCTTTTCAACCACGTTGAGTGGAAGTCCGTCCGCTGCGATTGCGCCGAGGAGGGATTTCGTCATTGAAATCTGCTTCGGGTGGTTCGATGAGTATTTCACCGTCGAGATCGTGGGGAAATATCCCGTGATTTTCCCTGCATCTATCTGTTTTTTAACCTTGGTCTCTTTCGTGTCTTTAATCTTATTCAAGTACAGCTGGTGCTGAGAAACATGCTTCTTCTGAAGATGACTGATCAGATTTGACGATCGCCCACTGTGCTTGACACTTTTTTTGCACGACAGACACTTGGCCTCATTTTTACTCTGCACAGTATAAAACAGCTTCATGACGTTGTGCGACGGTAGCGTCGTCTGTCCTGTATCGCCGCTCAAGTCGCTGCCCGACGTCTCGGGATTTACGTTACCGGCCATTGTTGGGCGGCCAGAGAAATGACGGCACATCGAGCGATGTTTTTCTACTCAGTACTCAAGTCCTTAGGTATACTTGATAATACCCTCGAATAGCTCGCCACTGGTCCCAATCCCGAGAAACGGTCTAGCCAGTGCCACACCCGACTCAGAACTGTAGGAAAGCCGCGCCGTCTGTCCGTGGCCGCGGCGGGGTTTCCCCGCCCGCGCTGAGCTATAATGTGACACTAGCTTCCGGGGCGCGGCGGTGATTCCCCTGCGAGGTCCAAGAGATAATAGGGGTGAAGGGGTGAAATTCAACCCGCCCCAGACGGGCGCGTTCGGCCGGCGACCCTAGTGGGGCGCGGGTTGTCACTTGTCACCTCACGAACCACGACAAATTAGTCGACTAATATGCAACAAAATCATTGACCAATGACTGACTAATGACTAACAAACATTTTGGTTGACTGACTTTTGACTGACTAAAAAAGCGCTTGACTAACGTTAGTCGACTAATTTTTGACTAATGACTAATATTCATTTCCACCTCTAGTCCTGACGCTCGGAATTTTGATACTTTTTGTGCAATAATGCAAAACAGTCATATATTTAGAACAACTATGCTTTGTTGAGTCGTTTCTTGTCCAATTTTTACTTAGCACACACCCTAAGAAGCAAAATAATCGGTATTAAAATATCGTCATGTTTTGTCATTCGCGCGCCATAATTGCATTCAACATTCTTCTGCTGTCAAATGTTTTGCGTGCTATTTTCTTTCAATAATAGAACAATGTGAACTATCATTTAAATCTTTTTCCAACAGCATCATTATTTATAATTTAATTAGGCAGCTTTTGACATGAATACTAGACTATATTTGATACAAAAAAGCAATATCTTTAACATGCTATAGTTCTTGATTAAAAACAATTTTACTGTTTACAAGTTTATTTGCAAACATTTTCTTATCGGAGGTGCCACTGGCGATGAAGCTTAGTGAAATCTGTTTTTACGTAGTTGGTAAAAATACTTATGAATTGTAAACTACAAACACTTGTAAATACAAGTTTTTAGTGAAACAGGCCTCTGCATGCATTCAGTTCGGAGAGTCCCATTTATCAGCATACCAACCCAAATCATCAGTAGCGAGCGGTCAGCTCCTTCCTTCAGAATGACCTTCACGGAAAGTCCTGCTTTTTGTTCAGAGGCCTGTTTCACTAAAAACTTGCAATTGCAAGTATTTGAACTTTACAATTAGAGTTGCAAAATTTTCCTACCGCACTACTGGCACAGTGGCGTATCCAGGATCTTGAAAAGGGGGAGGCCAAACCTGCTCAAGGGGCCCCACCCTTACCTTAGGGGCCCCAGTGCACAATGGTTGGAAACGGCCTCACGGATGGCCGGGAGTCAACGCGAAAAAATGTTTTGCCCATAACTTGTTAATGCGTAGACCGACTGCGATGAAACTTTGCATAGGTATTCCAGTGTCTTTCGTGCATCATACAGTTACTCAGAAATGACGAGGTCACGTCACGTCACGCGTGTGTGACGTCATCATTGCAAGTATGTTATAAGTCGCCTGTCTTTCATAATGTTATCGATATCGCGAGGCATTTTGAACATGTTTTGAATACTGCTAATACTGAGTGGATATTGTTGTTATGCTTTAGGGCGAAAAATATCAACGTAGTGACGCACAGTGTCTTACTATTGGTCATAAAGAGTCAAAAATTTGGAGAAAAGTATTAGTTTTTTTTTTAGATTGGGCAAAAAAGTAAGAAATAAAATGACGATCAAATGACAAAAAATGCGTCAGATTAACCCGGCAGTTGCTGGGGTATTTCCCACCCGCCGTTTGCCGGGGAGGGGGGGGGGCGTTCAACGCCCCCAGCCGATAACTCGCGAACAAATAGGCGCAGCGAAACGCACGAGGCGGCAAACGAAAGAAGAACGCGACGAGACGATTCACATGAATACTTTTAAGTTGAATTTCGAGGTCACAGGTCGGGTCAAGGTCAGGTCAAACACTTGAAATCG